TCCACATGTCTTAAAGTTGTCAAGATTGACATACAGTGTCTAAATGATGAAATTAAGGCAGGGATAAACAACATTTTAGATCAAGGGCACGCTGGAAATGTGGGGAGCCACTGAGAAATGACTGCTGCTGTGTGGCCAGACATAAAATTCTCATTTGCTGGATGAATTAACTTCACAAAATATTCACTACCATCCCATAGGGACCTTTGTAAAGCTGAAAGCCATTCTGGCAAATAAAAACGAGGCTAAAGGCTAGTATAGTCTGCTTTGCAGCATGGCAATTTCTTTTTTATTATTATTTAAAACATTTTTTTATAGAAAAAACAGATGAAAAAGAGACAGTCTAGTGGAAACTAAGGGACATCCTAACCCTGAATTAAGGTCTAATCTCTTGAACAGGATGGCCAATATTTGAAATAGGTTCTGGTCTTTCTGTGGAGGTTTGAGAATGAAGGAGCAAAGTCATATCAATATGTGGAAGGGAAGATATGAACAGCATCAGATTTAAAAAGAGTTAGTTTTTAAGCTAAAGATCTTTGATCCTCCTTGCAGCACCTCTTGGTACTCTTTTTGATGATGGCTGCCAAAAATTGTGGCAAGGTTCGCTATCCTTTTGAGGTTTCCTTAGTCCTTCTACCTACTTGTCAATCCCTTGATAATTCATAGTTGCTCTTCGGTTATTTTTTCTTAAAACAAGAACAGTCAGATAGAATAGATTTATACTGAGGTATGTGCATCTCTAAGCAGCCTTCAGGTGGTTGAGGGGCTGAATACCAGACTAACATTCTTTATTGTTAGCTTCTCTGCTCAGATGGCTTGACTGCTGTTGTGCCTCACCAATGTGGCAACTTCGGCAAAGCTCTAGAATAGGGTATTGCAGGTTACAGAACGGAATGGAACGGAACGGAACAGAACAGAATAAAATAGGGTATTGCAGGAGTTACAGAACAGGGCAGTCTAGAACTTTGCAGTTCTAGAACAGGGCATTCCAGAACTTTGTGGATGTTGCCACATGGGTAAGCCTAAGTCAGTGAGAATAGGCCAGTGGGAGAGGCCTGGGATTTATAACCTTCCCTCACCAGCAAATGCTTGGGGGTGGGGAGACTTTGTGTGCCGAAGGGGAATAATGTCCTTTGAGAGATTCTCACATTGCCCTTGGGACTGGATGTTAACAAACTCAGGTGGAGAATGCAGTGTGAGTCATGCTTCTTCTTGCCTCCTGGCTTCCTTTTGTAGATTTCCAGTTATGACATCTCCCCCAATTACGGCATCGTCACTTTTGCCACCCATAGCAAAGAGGTTTTGAACACAATGAATCCAAACAGCAGTGATGCGGCCTGGGTGATTGAACTAATGGAAAAAGTCAAACTTACCGGTAAGGCATATTCCTGATTTTTGCCAGGGAGACGGTTATTGCGTGCTCTCATATCCTTTCTATCAGAATTGTCCCAAATACCTACCCAGGGACACTTAATAAACCAATCCACCTCTAGTTTTTGCATTTTCTCTTGTTATCTTTCACTCTGTTTAGGGGAACCATAACAGTATTCTTCCAATTGACAGGTGCTGTTTCAGACTTCCTGCAATGAAACAAGACATTCCATTAGGCAAAACGCATCCATATTTTAAGAATTCTCCAGTTACACCATCTACACCTGCAGCCTTACCATTTTTCAGAATTTTCACATTGATTACTTCCTTTCCATGAAGTTTTTTTTTTGAACAGTAACATTTGTTACATTCATTTCAAGTCCACTCTTTGACATATCACAGTCATACCACATGAAGCTTCAGTATAATCTTCCAGCATTCCTCCCTTCGTTTTCATCCCAAATCATTTCATCATTTTTTGTTTCTAATCACATTCAGGGCCTTGTTTAGAGCTCTTTACCTATTCTCCATATTTTCTTTGCACCAAAATTGCAATTCCTCTTTTAATCTTCAATATTCCTTATCATCCTTAACCATATTATTTGCAACTATTTTTTAATCTCTAAACACATAATAAAAGAGCTATCTCTCATACTCATTTTTATAGCAATCATTCTCTAATACACATTTTTCTCATCCACAACCTTTTCATTTCATAATACCACTAAGAAGCCTTTTTCATACTTCCAGTAAATAACTTCACACACTTACATGGCACTCTGTAACATTTTCCATTCTATTCCAAGTGGTTTCTGCCTCCTTAAGTCTTTTTCCTTACATTCCCTTTCCAATCATTCTACTGGGAATTGATCTATTTTCTAATTTTTGTATACACCACTAAGATATGGTCTGTCTCAAGTTCAGAACCTCCCATCCCCCTTGTATCTGTTACAAATTATCTGCTTTTGTCATAAAAATCATCAAAGTGATGATTTTACCAAATCAGTCATCCTCTGCACTGTGTATGCATGAATAGATTTACACTTCAACCATGTATTTGAAACCAACAGAGTTTTTTCTAAGATCACTCTTCTCGTTCCTTCTTGGATCTCCAAATGGCCTAATAACATTTTCTGTACTCTTCCCTCCCCTTCCCACCAATACACTGATATTATCTAGCAGAAAAAATTCCCCCTGAATTGGATGCATTCAGAATATTGTTCAATTTTTTCCCAAAGTCATTCCTGGATCTTTCATTATCACCATCCACTGTAGTCTAACATGGAACTAATATCAGTCTATGATTCCTACTTTTATACTTATCCACAACAACCTAGAACACCTGTAGCCCTTTTATTACTAGTTAAATCTATGCCTTTACATGTTTACATGTATTCATCAACTGCACTCCTTAAGATCAAACCACCTTCATTCAAATATGTGACTTCCTTCCACTTTTTCTAAGGTTCACAGACACTCATTATACCTTTATTTCTCTTTTTAGGTCATGCTATGCTATCTTAAATTTTTAATCTCAATCCTTCATGAGACATGATCATCCCCAGATGGTACCATACTCTACTATCCATCGTGGCTTTGGTCACTTGAGGTTTTCACATAACACTTTTTAGTAAGATAAAGAAGGTGTAGACTATGTTACCAATGTGGTTACGTGTCCATATGCAGCATAACCTAACTGTAAGACCAGAACTGGTTGGTTTTGGCATGTTTTGGCCAGAATACATCAAACTTAACCCAAGTCAAGCATGGTTTACCTCAAGTGTTCTCATGCAATTCTATGCAAGCTAGAATCTCTAGTCTACTGTATAGACTATTTTGGAAGCCAAGATATTGTTGCCTACATCCTACCAACTAGGAAGTATTAACATGCATTCAGAATGCTTAATAGCATAAGAAATCTTGAGGATGAAAAAAAATTCAACACTGAAGAATGGCAGCTGTTGATGTTTTTCTGAAGCGGGGTCTGAAGACCAGCTAGGTTATATTGCAGCTGCATGTGTAGCCTGAATACCGAATGAGATCTGCCAAGGCCAGCCAACTGCAAAGAGTGTATGTTCATTTTTCTCCTTCTCCTCCTTCTTTATTCTCTAGACCATAGGCAAAAGCCAGGAACCAACATCAACAAAGGCCTGCAAGCTGTCTATGAAATGATGGTCTCTCAGGAAGCTGATGAAAGGAGACGTAAATTAATCCCTCCTCCTATTTCCAATTCCACACGCCATGTGATCATCCTCATGAGTGATGGTAAGGAAACACACACACACACAAAACCTTACTTTGCTGGTAGGGTAGCTACTTTTTAATGTTTGTTTGAAAGAACTTTTATTATATCTATCAATATAAGGAATATATTCCCTACTTTGCAGCTTAAACTAGATCTACAGAGTGCTCAAATATTTCTTAGTATGTATATTCAGAAGAACTTGCTTTATATTTTTATCCTTTCCCCCTTCTCTTTCCCCTCATCCTCCAGAGTCTACTTACATCCCAGATTCAAGCCTCTTCCTATGTATGTAACCTCCTTTTTAGGTCAAGATCTCTACTTGGTCTTTAAATGATACATAAAAAAATGGTGGGGCTGAAAGAAAACTACCACTGGCTTAATTTTATTACAACGATTCAAATTCAGTTGAGTTGAATGGAGTGAATTATTTCTACAGTTCCATGGAACCTTTGGAATTGCTGTGGGGCCACATCCAAGGTTTTGAGGGGTGAATTGATCAAACACTACTGCCGTATAATAACTCATACTCTCATCCTTCAGGTGACTACAACATGGGTGGTGATCCAATTTCTGTCATTAGGGACATTAAGGAGTTCCTCAGGATAGGGAAATCCCGTTCGAATCCCCGCAATGAATACTTGGGTAAGTCCTGATGATGCATAGATTGGGAAGGAAATGAGGAGAAAAGTGCTTTGAACCATCATCATTACACAGCCAGAATTTCACAATGTTTTAAACCTTAAGCCACTGGCTTATTGTTGTTGTTTTAATTCTATGATCCACCTCTTGTATCTTAACCCAAGGAACAATAGAGAGTAGATCATATCACAAAAGCAATTTCTGCATTCCCAGTTGAATATAACACCAAGTGAAATTAACACACAAATTGAATATAGTAGATTT